CACCCCTAGCCGAGCGTGGGCGGACAGAGCCGGTTGAGGGGGCCGTCGCCTCGGCCGTCGCTCATGCGCCAGCCAGCCTCCCCTCGCGGCACGGTCCAGCCTGGGACCGGGGCGGGGGGAGCCGAGCGGCCTCCGGTCGGGAGGAGGGGGCGCCGTGCGCCGTGCGGAAACTGCTCTTCCTTCCTGTTTCATTGCATTTTCCTCTTTGATTCTCTCCCCTACTTTTTTCGCCCCTCTCCTCTCACCCTGCGGACCACCGCGCAGGCAGGGCCCCCCTGTGCGCGTGTGCGCGTGCTTCGAGGTAAAGAACACCTTTAAAAGAGACACGCTCCCGCGTACAGAAACAGCTCCCCCATGCTGTAAAACAGTCCACTTAATAACACTCACTCATTTACTCTCTCTCTCTCTCTCTCTCTCTCTCTCTCTCCCTCCTCTCTCTCACTCTCTCTCTCTCCCTCCTCTCTCTCACTCTCTCTCACTCTCCCTCCCTCTCTCCCTCTCTCCCTCTCTCTCCCCCTCTCTCTCTCCCTCTCTCTCTCCCTCTCCGTCTCACTCACTCACTCACTCACTCAATCTTACCCGCTCGCTCGGTCGCTTTTTCGCTCCTCACTGTGAGCGACTCTTATCAAATCGAATTAAAACTTAGGGTATAGATCAGGGGTCTCAAACTCGCGGCTCGCGAGCCAAGCGCGGCTCGCCTAGCCCAGTAGCGCGGCTCGCCGAGAGCCGCGCACCTCTTGCGTTCGGGTGGATCCGAGCCCCCGAGAGCCGCGCTCGGGTTGCTCGAAGCTGAGCTGGACCCAGCCGCCGTCGTCTGTCGCTCGACACACGCCGCTCGCTCGCTAGCCCAGTGTGTGTGTCTGTCTTTGTCTCACTCATTGAGGCGCCATTGGGAGTGACAGAGACAGACACACTGACCGGCGACCGAGCGCCGAGCAAAGCAAGCCGGCGGCGACAGCAGTTGCGGCCGGGCACGGGTCAGTCGTTGAGGCACCACTACATCTATCTCTCTCACTCTTCTTGCCGAAGAGCTTGTAATGCGTGTGGCCTATGCAGACGAGGCTCGGCGGATAGCTCGAGTTTGAGACCCCTGGTATAGATGAACCGTGATGGACTTTATTAACATGATCCCACATGATGTACATGATCTTTCAAGATACAGAGGGAAAAAGTTTCACTTCTCAAAAGTTCACCTAATCTTGAAAAATTGTGCTTTTACGCAGGTGTAAATACTACAGGTTTTGAAGGGAGGACATCTCTCTGTCGATGAAATAAAACCTCCTCCACACAATCTGAGGGAAAAATGGTACATTGTGTCACAAAAAGAAAAAAACCACGACGAACTAGTCGGAAATTGTGCGACCGTTTCCCATTTCCCCTTTCAGCCCGCTCCTGCTGCCCAGTGGTCTCATTTCCATGGCAACACGACGTTGCTAGCCCCGCGGAGCCTCGGGGAGGGAGGGGGGGGGGAATCGCGATCCGTCGAGACAACGGAGACAACGCCTAAGCAGGGGGGAGGGGTTTTGACCTCCGCTAGACCACCCGAGACGGCTGCTGCCGGTCGCATGGCGTGGCGCAGCGGCGCGGGGCAGGGCGGCGGCGTGGCCGCGATGCCGTCCACCGCCACCCTGGGCACCCTGGGCTCCGGCCTGGGGCTCCTCGGGGAGGGCGCGCCGCCCCAGTCCGGCCACTGGGAGTGGGACGAGAGCGAGAGGGGCATCGTGCTGCACAGGTACACGGTCAAAACAAAAACAATGTCTTTTATTTTAGGCGAAAGAAAGGGGGGGGGGGAAGCTTGGAGGAACTCTGCGATTTCTGGAAAAACGCCTCAGGTTTTTGGGAGATCTTCTCACAGTACCGGGTGATTCAGAGCACGCGCCGCCGTGTTGCGGGTTTGCCTATCCTCGACTCGGCGGGCGCACGGGTGAGAGGTGAGGAGGGGACCCCCCACCTCCTCACCTCTCACCCGTGCGCCCGCCGAGTCGAGGATAGGCAAACCCGCAACACGGCGGCGCGTGCTCTGAATCACCCGGTACATGTGGGAATTTCACTCTTTTTTTTTTTTTTTTAAATTTCAGATTTTAAGGAGATTTCTCTTTGAAGCATCAGAATAAGGGAGTTACTCAAAGTTTTCCCCTTTGCCTCCAAAAAACAGACATTGTTTTTACCGTGTAGGACGGCGTCGGAGGGAACGCGTCGGAACACTCAAGCAGGTTAATATCCTCTCTATTTTTTTAAAATTACATTTTTTTATCACGATGCCCCTGCAAAATAGTAGTAATATTTTTCAGTACCGTGTGATTCCCCTCCAACCCTCCTCCCCCCAGTATTTTTATGACCATCCGCGCCTTATTGATTAGGCATTGATGGAGGGAACCATCAGAGTCCCTCCTTCCTGCGCGCGTCCATCTTTTTGTTGAAATATGAAGAGATCCAGACGCGAAAAGCGAGACTGTAGTGTAGCTCCCAAGTAATTGTCTATAACGGGGAGTACGGGTCACGAATGGGGAGGAGGATTGATTGAAATAAGGAGTGCTTTTTTGAATGAAGCTCCTCCGCTTTGTGACACTACTGAGGCCATTGTGCCCCGAAAAATCCAGGGTGGGGGTCAAAAGTCTTTCGGCCAAGGGGATTCTGATTGGGCGCCAGTGAGCGAACGCCGGCGCGAGCGAACGAACGGTCGTTGGTCCTGAAAAGAACCCAACTGTCGAGAGTACAATAGAAGTGTGAATATTCCTAGGAGAAAAACAAATTCACGCCTTTGCTCCCTTGCGTGCATGAATGGGCCATTGCGACATGCACGCACACTTGCTTTTCCAGTGTAACTGTTGAATTTTTCCGGTCAAACTGGGATGAGGCGTCAGTCGGAAACTCTTCCGTCGAGCTGTACGGGGATGGAAATGAAGTTTGAGGAGGGGTGGCCCGTGGATCGTCCTGCCCCGTCCCGCCCGCACCCCGCGCGCTCCGCCACGCCCCGCCACGCCGCGCCCCGCCCAGCCCCGCTCCGCTCCACCCCCGCCCCCGCAGTCGCAACGAGGTCCCTGGCCCTTTCCCCGTCCTTTGGGGTCTGGCTAGGGCGCGGCCGAGCAACAGGTTGTGCGGGCTGAGGGCGGGGCGGGTCGGGGCTCGGCGGGGCGCGAATCCTGATCCTGAGCGCCCAGCTCCGTTAACGACCTCGTGAGTCTCGACGGAGTTGGATAGAGATTTAAAGGCCGCAAATAACAGGAAAAGTTAAAAAAAAAAAAAAACACAAAAAAAATCAGGGAAAATACCGAAAATTTTGAAGAAGAAAAAAAGCGCTTTAATTAGTTTGTTTTGTTGTTGTTGTTGTTTTCAAATTTTTACCGACAATTCTCCAAAAGAAAATGTTTTTTTCCGGAAAATTTTAACTTTTCTGGAAAATTAAAATCTCCAGAGTTGGGAATGCCTGTCGCTGTCGCTCGTGCTTGAAAATTTGAGATATCAGTGTAACAGTATAATAGGCATTCACGCATCTACAAGTGTGCGACATTCACACACTTGCGTTTCCGGTGCACAATTTCAAATCGATATTTTACAACACACACATCATGGACAATTTTCTTGTATAAACATTACAAGTTATTTCTCACAGTGTTCTGGGAGCAACCCCCCCCCCGATCGCGGTTGCTCTCCTACTTCGGAAATCCAAGTGTGTGAATGTCACACCCTTGTAGGTGTATGAACGACATACGTACACGTAAATGGGGACAAGTAAGCGAACTGCAAATTCAAAGAAAAATTCGCAACTTTACTCCCCCTTGCAAATATAGGAATATCCACACACTTAGAAGTGTGCGACGCGCACATTTGCTGTCCGCAGCCGGGAGGCGGCGCCCCGCCTCGAGGCCAGGATGGCGTCGCGCGTCACGCTCGCGCGCGCCGTGCGCGGCGGCTCGGGCTGCCTGCTGCCCGACATGGTGGTCACCTTCCAGGACGTCGTGGACGCCCTGGACCAGATGCGCTTTCGGCGCCACTGGCAGCGCCGCGTGCGCCCCGGCGACCCGGACGTCGTGACGCTGCGCGACGTCAAGGACGTCGTGCTGTTCCAGGTCAGCCGAAGCTTGGAAAACCCCAAGTGTGTACTTGAATTCAGTACCTCCTGCATACCCACATTTATGCAGGAAGTCCTGTGTACTTGGCAGGCAGGAGGAAGTGTGTACTTGGTCAAGTATGCAAGAGGTAGTGTTTACTTGGTCAGGTACACAATAAATCTCCTGCATACATTCATGGAGGTTTTAGCGTGTACTTGACCAAGTACACACTACCTCACATACTTGCCAAGTACACAGGACTTCCTGCATACATGTAGGTATGCAGGAGGTACTGCATTCAAGTACACACTTACCTTATACCTACACACCTACCTTATATAGATTTGTACCCGTGCGCCCACATCGCTTGGACCGTAGTTTGGGCGCCACTGCACTTGCTTCCAGAGGAAGTACTTCACTGGAGAAAAATGGCGCACAACCTTTTTAAAAATATTCAGAAGAAAAAAATCAGGATAAAAAGGGGGAAATATGGAGGAAAAATTCGAGGGCGAAAAAAATCATGAACGGCGGACACATCCAAAGGGCCGAGGCCCGGCTCGGGTCTGGTCGATTTCCGACAGTCAAGGGAGATAAAAAACGGGTTCGTTTAAAAAGAAAAGGAGGATTGTATGCGGGGAAAAGGGGGAAATTGTCAATTCGCGGTGGCGTCCAAGGGCCGGGCACCGGGCGTGCTGCCGGTCAGGCTCGCCGGGCTTTCGCCGCGAGGGGCTTTTGTTTCCACGGGCCGCTTGGTCTGTTTTCATATTCATCATCGGCTCTGTCTGGCACGGGAGGAGGGGCGGCGGTCTGGACCGGTGGTGATCAGGAGACACCACTTGAGATGTGAATTTGATTCCCAGGCTCGTCCCCCCCCCCTCCCCTCCTGCCCAGTGCTCCCCAGGCGAGGCGAGACTGAACAAAGCTCACGAAAAAAAAAACGAAAAAAAAAAAAAGAACGGCCCCATTGTCTTAGCACCGTCGTCGAGCCCGTCGTCTTCCCCCGCCTTCACGTCGTGGTGTCGCTAATGGCGTCGTGGTGTTATGGTGGAATTCCCATCGGCGTTTATTTGGAATGGGATTTTTGTTTGTTCATCCATAAGCAATATAGCAATAACACACCTCCGAAGCGGTTTTGCTGTACGAATTGCTCTCAATTACCTGTATATAGGGCGCATTTTTCGTTGTGTTCGGTCACGGTGAATTTTACCCGAGAAAAAAAAAGACGTTTCTCGAATCAGGTCCGCGCAGGGGCATGCACTGCACATAGTCAATTATAGTAGTCGCAACACTGCGGGGTGTTGGTTCTTTGATTCACTCGGTCCAGAGTGTGCTGCTTTGCGCCGCTCCTCATATAGCAGAACCGTAGCGCTAAACGATAATAATTGTATGGAGAGAGAGAGACGGTTTGCGCGGCGCTACACAGAGAAGCGTGACGCAAACACCCCCCCAACCCCAACCCCCCCAATCCCAACCCCAACCTCCCAGCGGGAGACGGCGGAGCCTATGGTCCAGAGAGCTCGCGCTCTCAAAACATCCGCGCGAAATAAACATTGCCTGGCTAAACTCATTGTACAACCCACACTCCAAGTGGGTGTACAATAGTGAGTGTCGAGAGTATACTCGAGAGTATTAGCGAGTCATTGCGCGAGTATCGGTGAGTTCTTGCGCCAGTAGTGGTGGGTATCCGCCAAGTATTTGGCGAGTATTTCTCGATTTTTTTCGCCAGTTGTCGCGAGTATCTTGCGAGTATTTTTTCTCGTGTAACAGAACGAGTGTTTTAGTAGGGGGAATCTTCGGGTAAACGGGTGTGTCCACATAGTGACCACGCAAAATGTGGTAATTTGCCAAGCAGCTTGGTTGCTCGGTTTCCAAACACGAGAGCCCCGGTTTCCAAGCAGTTAGGAGTTTTTCCTTGAACATACACAGGTTTACCCCGCCCCCGCCAAGTGTACACCTACAAATGTGCGACATTCACACACTTATTGCGTTTCCAGTGTGGGAACCAGGACGTCGTTTTTACCGTGTAGAGTTAATCCGTACCCGCGCTCGTTTATTTTGTTTGCTGCGCGTCAGCTCAGCCCACGTGACTTCCGCCCTCGTCGAGATTAGTCTTAGGAGGTCGGTGGAGCAGGGGGAGGGGAGGGCGCGATAGCTGCTAGGAGATAACTCACACCAACCGGATTTGTGTCTTTAATTTGCACTGATTTAAGCAATTTTTTAGGGGGGGCACATTTTTGCGTTAGTTGGAACTGCATTCCTTTGCGCAGGACATCAAGCAATTTTGCCCATAAATTCGTGCAAAAATAAACCGAAACGTAGGTTTAAGTTGGCGCGAACATTTTGCACGACAAAACACAACACAAACACATTATTTTGCGTTTATATCTGCACGAATCGTAACGTCATTCGAATGCTCGAACCGCTCGCTTGATAGCTCGATTTCCCCCCC